GTCAATCCACCTAAAATCCGATACTACATATATGTAAGTTTGTATCAATATATTATAGAATTTATCGAATTTTAGCTTATCTTAGGATAGGCGATGGCTATGGGGTATAGGGTCCCTTTAGTTAACATCAATTTTAGCCACTAATCGGTCTTCTAACTTCAAAAAGTTGTTTTAAACACTTATATGTTAAGCCTTTGCACTCGGCGATTCCTTCATCACAGAAAAATAACAATTCGAAGACTTTCTGCCACAAAGTCGAAGATATTTTTAAAACGGTAAATAAGCAATAGTATGCAAATTAAGACGTGGAATTATTTTACCTCGATATTTCACGCATCGTTGAGTAATTTTACATTTGATATATTAATTAACATCGATCTTTAGAATGTGATTAAATGGCGACTGAGGGGCGGCTCTCGAGTGCAAAGGCTTAAAAATGATCGTTACGATGAAGTAAATTAATTTAATTCAATTTAACCAATTTCAATTCGTTCTACTATTGAAATTCCCAATATCCAGCGGTGGTATTCGCAATATCGTTCGCGTGTGATGACATTAGGGAACCGATTGCACGGTACGGACTTGGAGTAGTCATATGTAAAATGATCGTAAATACGTCTTACGCGATCGTGGCGGTGGAAGCTGCGGGTAATGGACAGGAAGGTATCAAATTCTTGGGACATTCCTTTCGGAGACACTCGACGCATAATCTCGAGGGCTAGCAGCGGCGTGCGCTCGTGACTTCGTTGAAGGAGACATTAGGGTCCAGGGAACTTTTCTCATCGATCTTGCAGGCTGGCGAGGAAGAGAGAGAGAGTTTTTTTAAAGAGACGAGAGAAAAAGAGAGGCAGGGAAAGTTCCATGGCTCCGCAACTAGGGAAAAGAACGATGAGATTTTACTTATCTCTGGAGCAAAGGCGGCTGGAGATCTCTTTTCCCGCTGTCTGTAGCAAACGAAAGCGTTGCAACGACAACCCATCGGAATATCATTGGCGTATGTGTATACGTGATTTAATCACAACGAAACGGCTACATCCGGAACGTGACGCTGATGATACCTCGTGCAGCCCGTTAATCACGTAGCTTTACAAATTGCGATACTCGGTTTCGAGGTAGGAACTCCGTGTTTCGCATCTGTTTGCCAAACGTATCCCGCTTTTCAAGTTTCTTCTTTTATCGCGCATGTTAACGTCGCTACTTTTCCCTGTATCGTAGAAAAATCGTGCGTCTGCGTGCAGCAAGTTATCTGTTTATCTTCTTGGGGCAGATGATATTTTTTCATTTCTATATTTGGTCGCGATTATGGTTGTCTATTGCGATATTATTCGTTACATTATATATATTACATTATATTACATTACATATATATGTATATACAAAAAAAAAAACAAAATGGAACGAATAGTATAGCTACAAATAATCATAATATATATATGAAGGATTGACGTGATTGAAGAAGAAAGATTCACAATCAGTATGAAACAAGACAAAGTAAAAATAAGGGTACAAGGATGCGAGTAGGTCAGTTTTAACCCTTTCACTCCTGCAGATATTGTATGACGTCACGATACAATATGACTGCCAGACTGCAGATGATACAATGACCATGGATTTCAAAGCTGTTAGGGCTTAGAAAATTCTTTCTGAACTGAATTCTTATAATGCACGATATTATATTTTGATTAACCCTTTGCACTCGACGACTTTTTCGTTAAAGAAAAATAGTAATTCGAAGACTTTCTGTCATAGAGTCAAGGATATTTTTAAAATGGTAAATGAGAAATCATATGCAAATTAAGACGTGGAATTATTTTTCTTCGACATTCCACACATCGTTAGGTAATTTTAAATTTGATATGTTAATTAACGTCGATCTTTGGAATCTGATTAAATGGTGACTGAGAGTCACCTCTCGAGTGCAAAGGGTTAAGTTTTCATTAGATTTAAAGAAAAATAAAATTTGTTGAATTAATTCAGGACAGGACGCTTGCTACTCTCTTCGTAACTCAGGAGTGAAAAGGTTAAATCGGAAATCTTAAAGTAGAAGTCAGTCGGTCTAAAAGTTGTCAGTTGCGAGTCTTACAGATCAGTTTTAGAAATCGGTTGTAAGAGCGTGAGAGTAAAAGGTCGAGTGAGGTCGTGATCAATTGGGAGAAGCGTGGCATAGTTACTATTCTGTTATATTAATTCGTTATTTTATTAATAAAGCTTATTTTGTTCCATTAAATATTGCAATATTATTCTAGTCGATCCCTCCCAAATACGATCCTAAATGTATATATATATAGGTTTAACGTCACATCGACATCGAGGTCACTGACATAGTGAACTATTAATTATTATCAGTGTTTATATGGATCTGTAAAGTTGTTTGTCATTCCGGATAAACTTCAAGATAGTGAGACATTGCTCAAGAAGAATTTTAAAACAAAGTGATATAAATGATCCATCTTCGTAAGCCTTCCACGAATGACATCTTCTTTACGACATTGTACGATGTGGATGCAGTTTGAAGTATCATGAAAGCAAGGAATTAATCCCTTGTGAGGTGTGGAGCTATTTTAAGCCCATTATATCAATGTCAACATCACTTGCACTCATAGATGAGAATTTTCATCATGACATATGTTGTAATTAGGGGAAAAGATATTTCCAAGCTTCTAAAATATTTTTCTACATATGTCAGATAAAGATAGTGACATTCAATAGTTCCAATTCAATATTTCGATAATTCGGTTGTTTTAGGATGGCTCGAGTAAAAAATTGTTAGGAAGAAAGGCATGATTTGAATTTGGCGGTGATTTTAGCGTTAGTAATTATTATTAACCTTTTGCACTCGAGAGGTGACCCACAGTCACCATTTCATAAAATTTGGAAGATCGATATTAATTAATATATCAAATTTAATGTAATGTAACAGTGTGCAGGGTATCGAAATCAAATAATTCTACAATTCTATTATTATACCATTCTTTATTTACTGCTCGAAAAAGTATCGTCACCTTTTTAATAGAAAATCTTTGATTTTCTACTCTTCTCTAGCCAAAAAATCGTCGAGTGCAAAGGGTTAATATAATTATATTAATAATAGTAACTTATTATATAGGTTAATGTTAGGAGGGTCTAAATTAGTAAACTATTATATAAAAAAGACCATTTGTATTATTCAAATTTATCTTTTTCTCTTTTACAAAAATAGAAGTTCAGCTGATAAGGAAACTTATCAGGGATAAGATTAGTATAAAAGTGGCCTGTAATCTCTAGCTCGGTTTTTCTATTGTTACATTAAGCATTGTCGGAAAGTTTTCTTGTTTATGGGGAATACCAGCCTGACAGGGTAAGTTTGACGGATAACTTTATCCTGAAAAGGGTACCCTCCAAAATATTCTTTCACCGTCCCCCTTTCATTCTGTAACTTAGCATATGCTCTTCTCTGCAAACTTTCAATGTATCCACTTCGATTTATGTATGTAGGTTAAATATACAGTCCAATACCTCCATAGATTAAAAAATTATTCAAATAGACCGTATAGTTCATTCGCATTACATATTTATAACATCTTTACGTTTTCTACATTACTCGTGTTTCTTGCTCTAATAATAATAATAAAAATGATAATATCAATTATCATTATTATTACTACATTACTCAAGTTTTATTCGCGTGAATTTTAACCAAAGTACGCTGCTTTGAATTAATAGGGACGAGGTAAATAGAGACGAATGTAGTCGATTTGAATCGATTGATTGCGAAATGAGACGAATGACACGAGTTCTTTGGATCAATAAAAATGAAACGATATATTATCACATTGACTACTATATTAGTCATCGGAGCTTGTCTTCTGACAATCAGTGGGGCCATACAGGCCATGCAGTGACCGGACTATCGCATTTGATTAGATAGCAAAAATAAAGCGAATATCTTCGAGTAAAACATTTTTGGACAACACAGACACCTGGGCAGTATCGCGAAATAAAAATAATTCTATTCAAAGATGAAAGAAAAATTTTAACGAAACACCATACACTACATGATACACTACACGATATACTAAGCAATATGCCACGTGATACGCCACGAATTAAATAGTAGAGTATAGCGCAATGAAAATTCAACGAAGTTTCAGTCAACGTGTTAAGGATGGAAAATATCGCACAGGACTTTGAAGGTGTACAAAGAGTAGTACCTGAAACGATTCGTATATTAACACATTGACTACTATATTAGTCATCGGAGCTTGTCTTCTGACAATCAGTGGGGCCATACAGGCCATGCAGTGACCGGACTATCGCATTTGATTAGATAGCAAAAATAAAGCGAATATCTTCGAGTAAAACATTTTTGGACAACACAGACACCTGGGCAGTATCGCGAAATAAAAATAATTCTATTCAAAGATGAAAGAAAAATTTTAACGAAACACCATACACTACATGATACACTACACGATATACTAAGCAATATGCCACGTGATACGCCACGAATTAAATAGTAGAGTATAGCGCAATGAAAATTCAACGAAGTTTCAGTCAACGTGTTAAGGATGGAAAATATCGCACAGGACTTTGAAGGTGTACAAAGAGTAGTACCTGAAACGATTCGTATATTAACACATTGACTACTATATTAGTCATCGGAGCTTGTCTTCTGACAATCAGTGGGGCCATACAGGCCATGCAGTGACCGGACTATCGCATTTGATTAGATAACAAAACTAAAGCGAATATCGTTGAGTAAAACATTTTTGGACAACACAGACACCTGGGCAGTATCGCGAAATAAAAATAATCCTATTCAAAGATGAAAGAAAAATTTTAACGAAACACCATACACTACATGATACACTACACTATATACTATGCAATATGCCACGTGATACGCCACGAATTAAATAGTAGAGTATAGCGCAATGAAAATTCAACGAAGTTTCAGTCAACGTGTTAAGGATGGAAAATATCGCACAGGACTTTGAAGGTGTACAAAGAGTAGTACTCACCTGACTGCAATGCACGGTGGAAAGAACAGCGGCGGAGACCAGCGCGCTAGAACTCGAGAGCCCTGAATTAGAAGGAATGTTACCCCAAACTGCAGCAAAGATTCCCGGAGGGACGCATTCCTTAGGGATCACTTCGAGAGCTCCTTTCACGCCGCAGAGAAAATATTTGTACCAGTCTGGACCACCACCGGTGATCTCCACGCAAACACTGCACAGAAAACGTCAAATTTATTTCCCTCTTTCGGACCCATAGCTTCATCTCTTCTCAATCTACGTATTTTTCTTCCCTTCGTTCGAGAGACAATAGATAACGGGAGATCGTGGGTATGAAAAAGTATGACAATTGACTAATCTTTTTAATAATCATGGATTGATAATGAAGGAGATTGACAAAGGAAACGCGGAAAATTACAAATAGGACGTGCCTTTGACATATGTGTGTGCTGATGATTATGAAAATAGCCTCAAGTCTATTTCGTTTAGAGGTATTTAAATTTTAACTCGACTCCACGCGACTAAATTAGCGATAAATTCGTTTCCAAGTTTTTCAATATTTACTCGAAGCATTTTCACAATTACTAACACTTATTTGTATTCTGGTAATGTTTCACGATAGCCATTTTGATATTAGCTTTATTCTTGATCCCCTAGTCGCCTGTAAAATACGAATTTGTTCTGCACTTTCCTCACTGCTGCTGCATATTCCAGCACAGAATTGATGTGCTTTTCATTTCGGGGATTAGATCCAGTGACAACGTTCGTAAATTCTTCAGTAGATATATTCGTCGTAGAAAAAGTGGATGAAGTTACAAAGAGTAACAAAATATTCAGGTGCAAAGACGGGGAAATTACATTCGTCGTTTGCTAGCATTATCTTCCTTCTATCTACATTATGGCTATGTCAATTTTTCAGGTTTCACTGGGGAAACCAGGGTTATTATATGCGAACTCCACCATGGCAGCTAACGCGAGGGAATTAATCAAAGGCTGCAACAAGTCATCTAGCTCCTTTATTTTTCGAAATCTTATTAAATTCGAATTTAACGTCGTTAAGATGAAACACGTTGCGACGAAGATTAATCTCGCTGTTAGGCTAAGGGTAGAGATAATCTTCTTAAATTGCCTCTCTGGTTAATTTGTCTTCTTTGTGCTCTTTGGTTAGTACAAAAATCACAATTTTATACTAATCCAGCTACGGTAGAACGTCTATTATCCGAATTAATTATGACACATACCTGTTCTGATAACAATTTCTTTGAATAATCGGTGTGAAAGAAATTTTGAATTATGTCATACGTCAACAAAAAATTTGAAAATTTACAGCTATAAATCTAATGAGAAAAGTAGAGGATAAAAGACAAATTAAGATATAAATTAAATATTAAATTTATACGGCTTTTATTTTTTCTCGATATTTTATCCATTTCAATGTAATACAGGCTTCCTGTATTCGGTTAATCAGGCATTTGTATAATCAAAATTTGCATAATCAACGTTCCATTATATATTGGAAAACGAATTGCAATCATCTTTAAATCGTGTCTCATTGTTAATTATTTTCTCTTAATTTATCATCGCCGATCGTAATGATCGCGTTTTTTAAATAATTCAAGGGGTTCTCGAAAAGTACAGGCCCATCGTTTAAAAGCGTAAATACATCGTTGATGAATCATGAAAATCATGAAAATAGTCGTGTCTTCAAACGCAATACACAGAATCAGCTGCATACAAGTAACAATTCTTACGTAATAAATGACAGATCCGGCAGCTGTTGTTATCGTCACTTTCCGGAATTCGTTATTTTCCTCAAATATTTTCCCTTCGATGTTTACAAGCGCAAAAGCATTCCTATGCCGTTCGCAGCCATTTGGAAATTAAAATACTTTCCCTAGAAATCGATCGATGGTGCGGAAACTGGGAAGCGTTTCAACAGCTTCTGCTTTTCTATCGTTTTCATGCTATTTCCTCGATAAATTTTTAAAATGCGCTTTAAATTTTTAAAACATCGCTTTAAATATTATTTTAACGTCGAAGAACATACCTCTATATACGGAGGGGATAAAAATATTTTCACATACGTACACATATGTGAAACTCCATGGAAACTTATCCTATGGAGGTACGATAGTAGTTGAAGTTTATACAAAATTTATAAATCATCAAATTTATTGTTAATAACAAATTAAAATTGTTAATAACAAATTGCTCGAAGAATAAATTTATAATAAAAAGGAGCTCAACAAATTCGCGATTATTACAGAAGAAAAGTAATTATTAACGAAATCGGCAACGATCGTGATTTTCCGATGATTTTTGGCCGATCCTCGGGTATATAAAGATCGCGCGAACCGAGCACAATCTCATTTGTCGTTTCGAGTTCGGAGTGATTAGATCTAAATTTCCGTCCCGCGAGGGTGATTCGTGTAGGTAGGGTGTGGTCGATGGTCATTGGCTAGACCCTTTGGGCTAGCCGATAATCATTGTCCATTTCACCCACACTCTGACCATCATAAAATTTAATAATAATTTTTTAATTAATTATTGTAATTTAAAAAAAAAATACTTTTTTTCTTTCATACAGGATTCAATTTTTTTTTACTGTCTCGTTGTTGTTTTTTTCTTTTTTTCTTCTGAATTTGTTTTTCTCTCTTATCGTTAGTTAATTCTTTCATTTGCTAGATTCTTATCTTGCTTTGTTTGATTGATTGTTTTATTTCAGTGTTTATTGCGACTTTCATTTCTTCTTTGTTATTTCACATTTCGTTCCTAATTATTTTTTAATTCGTTTTGCATTTATTTCTGTATTCTAGGTATTTCAAGTATCATCGTATCGTCCTATAACGAAACGATACCAAACAAAGAGCTAAGATATTTTCAATCTATCGAAAATTGTCAAAGTTCCTTTTGAATTTTGAAAATATGGAATAGGTAGTATTCATTGTGGTAATATTCAAACTAGAAGGAATTAAGTTACGTTAATCGCGAAAGTGTAACGAGTGGACTACGTATACTCGTGCAAATACATATTTTGATATCCACACGCGCCTTAGGTATTTCTATATTATATTTCTAAGAATAGAGGATTGATAATTTCGTTGAAAATTATAACAATGCGATTCCAAAAATTATCCCTTCTTCTATCATACCTGTCCATCGAAGAAAACGAATTAAACTCGCGAAATTTCATTCCAGTCCAATATTACCTCACCATCCGTGCCACTTCTTGCTCTCTAATCTCTTGTCGTTCGTCCCAGTGACGCTTTGATGATTCATAGAATCTATCCGAGCCGTACCCCGTTGAATAATTCCGAGGATCGACTGACGATTAGCGAGATGCTGCTCGAGCATGACTAACGATCGCGATTATCCGGCAACTTCTTCGGGAACGACGGCCATTTTCAATCATCCGCTGCTAAACGCGATACAGCTAATGAAATTACGTGGCCGGCTTTATCGTGCCACCTTTCATTTTATCGCGACCTCTTTAATCCGACGTGCCACGTTCAGAGGCGTCCTTTCCGGCAAATTAGTTCCACGTCTGCCCGGATGCCATTTATTTTTGTCCTCGCGAGAAAATGTACCGCGAGAATTTCTTACGGTGAAATTGCATTCCGATGCTGCGTACGGAATTTTGTATTACATCGTGGCCAGTTTCCATCCGGCGACTTGTGTCCAAAGCAATGGCGGAATGAGCGCAATCATGAACGTGAACTGCAATCAAGATCTCGACTCCGAGATCGAATCTCGGCTTCGGAATAATCCTAAATTCGTGCTTCTAATTCCTTGCCGATTATGTGAAACTTGCCACCAGGTAATACGGTGATTTTTCTTGCAGTTAGATTATTGGTAAAAATATTTTCCAAAGTTAATATATCGCGGGATAAACAAAGTTAGTAAAATTTATAAAACTTCGTTACGTTGGGTAACAAAATAATTGGTTAGGTGGCATTATTCGCATTTTCTAGACTATTCGGGATCAGTAATAAGAGAGTTGATATTTTTATTTAGGGACAGTCGAAGATCGAAGTATATAAATTAGGAAGTTAAAGGTTAAAGTTGAAGATTATAATTTTGTATATCTTCTGAAAAGTATTGGGTGCTTCGGTATGTCGTATTTTTTCGCGTCGCGTTAAGTGGCAAGTCTCAGGAGAGTGTATTAAGTTTGACTTCGGTAATTGAACTTCGCGATATTTCTCCCCTGTGGTTCCAAGTGTATACAAATTGCATTTCAGATTGCTACCTCGCATTATACTGGATTCCTCACTTGTGACAAAAATGTGGCGGACGAGAAACTCGAGAGACTCGTGTCATTTATCACAACGTTTGGCAATTTTTACAAGCGTGGGAATTTCATCACTCACCTAACATTTGCCAAACTACACTCGAAACTCTGATATTTCGGTTCGACGTTGGTGAGATGAAGGCCTGGAGTGTCCTTGGAGGGCAGTACAGCAACAAGTATATCTTGTTCAATGGCCATAGGGCAAACAGCGTACCCGCAATAGTCGATGTGCTCGCCAATTAGATTAATTCTGCGGACAGAATCAGAATAATTGCAATTACTCAAAGAGCTCGAGAATTGAACTCACGAAACGAAATACAAAAACATTTTGTATCGTCGTCAATCATAGCATAATTTAAAATTTAGATTAAAAATTTTCTTTAATTAAAAATTTACCTTCCCGGAACTCTGACGAAGAACGAAGGTTTCAGATTGTACGTTGATTCAAAGTAATCGGATAAAATATTCAGTCTTTTCAACAGCTTCTCATCCGGTTGCAAGATGGGAACACGTGCTTCCGGTTCCACGTTGTATCTTCCACTTGCATCGTGTGACATGCTTAAAAAAATTCATAAAAAGCTAAGTAAGTTATGTAAATCGATGCGTAGTTTTTAATCAGAAAAAAGCGTTTTGTTCTCGTGGAACGCGCAATTTTGAGAAGTTTGAGAGTGTTAGTTTTGTGACCGCTTTAAGACAATTTTCGGTAATTATTTAGAAAGCAAACGGTAGTTTCGACTTCTTTGATTTTTTAATATGTGGTAGAAATCAACATTTTGAACAACTTTTTCCTTTACATGTGATCGCCATTTTGTCTTAGTTTTCGAGATATTTGCCAAAAACTATTGCTACTGCTACATCGCGTTCGGTTTATACGCATGCGCGTGACAGCGTACGTGTGAGCTTAACAGTTATCTACCGTTTGTATAAACATATCGCCGTGGATAAAATAGGCAAACAGAACGGGTGAACTTGAAAAGTAAAGTTAGTAGATTACGTTAATTTTGAATTGCAATTTACGTGGTTTACCGCTGCCTGGCAGTTTTAAATAATTAAGTTTTGCAAAAGTTAAAATCTAACCCATTTAAATGATTTTGAATTTCGCCTTTGCGTGGGCGTATTGTTATAGTCTAATCGAAACTAATATAGGTTAGATCAGGTTCAATTAATATCCTGTAACGCATGTCATAATTCAAAATTAACGAAATCAGCGGATTACGTTAGTTATTAAATTGTAAATTTACTTTATCGTGTTATTTATCATTTATTATCTATCTCTAGTTATCGCAAATGATAAAAAGATTTTGCGAAAAATCACGATAATTGAATGCTCATAGTAGTTTCTGTTTATCCTACGAGTGGCGGCACTATACGGAGCGATACTCAAACACGTATTGTTAGGCATAAATATTTGAAATTATAAGAATAATATAAAAGCGTTATCGCATACTGGCTAGAAAATTTTCATTTCGATAATGTTAGGGAAAAATTGACGAGGCTGTGTATGTATTATATATTTATAAACACATTGATATGATGTATATATTTATTATACCGCCACGTCAGTTTTTCGTGTAAAGGTGGAAATGAAATGATATAATGTGTTATGATAACATTTTCAATAAAAGTAGCAAAATGAATTGAAATATTAATATGAACATACCTGTTACGGTATCCGCAAGTTTTCGTTTTCAAAATGACGATGTCACTGATATGTCACGTTATCGCACTTGTTTAACTATATTATCAAGTTGTGTATTTATCGTGAGGACGCGGGGTTAACTAATCTTCTCGGTCGAAAAGAGTACGTAGGAGTCTTATAGAGTGCACCGACTCTAATATATACTAACCGTGCTGAAAGTAAATATGGCAACGATGTAAAAGTCCAGCATCAATGTATTTAACCCAACCTTCGGTCTTCCAGTCTTTGAGTTTCCTATCTGTTTTTAAAATGTTTATATCAACGTTATAATTTCCAGCTTTTCGAAGCATATGAGAAATGAACAAGTGTTATAATACAGATTAGTTTTATATATTTATATTCAGGATATTAAATTATTATCGTAAGGAGTTGGTAGAAGTGTACGCGACGATCGGAATAAGGAATTATAAGGTTGGCTGCATGAGGAATGGTTATGTATGCATATATGTATGTATATCGCTTTATTAACTTAAACGCTTTAATTTCAACGTTCTTGTTTTCTTGAGAGCACCGTGAATATGATACATGAAAACACCAAACTATTCCGAGAGTTCGCAAAATGTATACCACATTTACAAATACATGTTAGTAAATTTTTATATTTATTCTACTCACCATACCTATAATATTTTTTCTCCTCTTTATCTAAGATAAAAAGAAAGTCTTCTTTTTATATATGATCTATTAAGGTTTAGTGATTTTCTGAATTAAGAAAACTATCCCACTTATACTTGTGCTCGTCAGAGGGGACATTTTTATAGGTTTACACGATACTTTATTGAATTCAAATTCTATACATTATACTAGGTACGCTTTAGTAGGAGTCCTCAAGCGTTGGTTTTTGGTAAAATCTTTGTAAGAAAGATACAGTAGTCGGTGTTGCTGTGCTTTATTCTACGATGTTATGATTGGCTGTGCTACGAGTAATTTACATAGCTTGAATTCTGTGACGTATAATTCGAATCTGACCTTTAAGTTTAGTCAATAATATATTTAGTAAATTGTTCGCTGAATTAGTGAGAACAATTTATATAAAAGAGAAAAAATATAATGCAAATAAAAATTGGATACTTTATTTGCAATTATATTCCATTCTCTTCCATTCCATACTTTTTCTGTAATTTTCTAATTACTTTTGATATTAATACCATGTATCGGTAACGTTACGGTCTTCTATTACGTTGAGTCGATAATTTAGGAAGCTACTCTTCGCAGCAGTAGATAAAACAGTACATGGTAATATTTGCGTTACAGATTTTGTACTTCGCTCGTGATGCTTTATTAGAATTCGTTGCAGTTACTACCGTATGATACAATTAGTTTTGATACCATGTCGGTAATGAGTTGTGAGTGTCGTGGAAATAGTACAGAGGTTCTAGAGTCCATAGAAACTCGATCGAAAAAATACACGCAATGGGAAAATTACCAATACAAGGTAATAAAAATTGTTCCCTTATTCCCATTTGAAGTTTCGCCAATCCTTTTATAGATGTCGGTATTCTCTTTCCAAAATTTTACGTCATATGTCGCTCGTTATTATATTTAAATTTTATTTTCATACTTTTTTACAGACACGTCTTTGTAATTCTGTAGGTAGCAATAAATAATCATTTGTTCCAAGTTTCTCGCTGTACTTGATAACCCTTGCATAAATTTTAGTATTATTCCATTTCAACTCCAGTACAAAATTTTTCTCGTTCTGTACGTTCAGTTGTTCCCTCCCGAAATTTTACGTCATCGTTTTTCCATTTCACGGGCTTTTTCCAACGTTCACCCCACACACGCATATACAGAGAAATGGAAGCAGGAACAAACGTCAGTTTAATTCGTATTACTTTCCTCATAAATCCGTCGGGATTCGCGAGCATGGAAGGGATAGGGGAGCAGAGTCCACGGGGGTAAACGATATAGTGTCGCATATACCGCGGAAGGTCTATGTATATACGTCTATATACACGGTTAGCTTCGTTCCACGGCCTGGCAGGAGGGGCGGAGGTAGAGGTAGAAACGACGAGGAGAGGTCTCTTTTCTTTCTCCGGTCCGTTTCATCCTCTGCCCCTTTTCCTCGGTTCTCCTTGAGCCGTGGCTGTACCGATTCCAGACAGTTTTTGCTGAAACATCGCGCCGTTGATCCGGCATTTTCCAGGCCGCTTGGTTTATCGCTCGGCCTGATCCCTCTGTTCGTACCGCGGTGTTACAAGCCCCTGCAATCGATGTTTTCATCCCATCTTCCTTACTCGACTCCGTCTCTGCCCTTGCCCTCTTCCTTCTCCCACCTCCTACCGCCTCCGCCCGTTTTCCTAGCGATTCCACGCTCTCTCCTCTCTCCGTATTTCTCTTTATCTTTCCCTTTGCTCCCGCGCCGCTCCGTCGGCCGTTCCGAGATAACCGCCGCCATTTGTCTCCGGGTGGCAGCGTGTACCGAAGCTACACGCGGCGATGTAAAGCTACCTACGATCTCCTGACCGTACACCAGAGACCTGGATCCGCTGCTGCTTCTGGAAAAAGGGTCGATTTTCCGTGGCAACCGCGGCTTTACCAGTGGAGGAAAAATAACGGGTTCGGGATATCTACTCCTCGGTATTGGAAGATTTCACGGAGCAGAATTGAATCGATAGGTTAGTCAATCGAGTAAATCGATGCCGTGTACGTTGTGCCGTGGTATTAGGCGTTTCAGCTAACTTCACGGCACACGTATAAAACTGCTGATTATGGTAACAGCGTACGTTACTTTATCGACCGTATCAAGAAAACGAATCGTTTTGTTTTATATTTCTACCTTTATTTCGCTCTTTATCGTTTTCCAATTTACACAGCTTCAAGTTACGATATAAATTCTATGATTTCTCGTGGCAAATAAAATTTTAATTTCACGGTATTTCAAATGTAATATCGCGAAGATACTATCCGTGATTAGAGCCAATGTTTCCATCGCGTCTTTGCTTTTCTCCAGGAAACGAAACCATCGTTTGCTCTGCCAGCTTTGACAAAAGCAAGCAGTACATTCTCGTCACGCGAAGACGAGGTACTGTAAAGTAGAGAGGTGTCTAGGCACGAGGAGGGTGCCGAAAAACAGACGTCGACTTTATACACCTATTTTCAATCACGTTCAGCCACGATAAAAGACTTTGGCGCGCGCAATCGTGTACTACCCTTCGGGCACAGGATTTTGTTTCCTGTGCCGCGCGCGGGTTCACCACTGCGCGAATAAACACGCCGGGGACACGCGATCTGATATTCAATATCCTCGGCTTTCCCCTCGGGAGAGTTTGCCGGGATCTCGAACTAGCATACGTCGTATCCAGTTTCTGCGTGTCTCCAGCCCGTCGGATATAATAGATACATTTTTCGATCTCTCAATATCGCTGCCTCTAGAACGCCATAGCCGGGGTTTCATCTAACCCATCGTGCCGATGAAAATTCCACTCGCGTGTTTTCTCGATTCAACTTTATACCTTTGCAGGTTTATTAAATGAAAGGAACTCGAAAGTGCGAGCTAAAAATTGCAAGCTTAGAATTTATTGATACGACTGTACATTGCTTATCGAGCGCGGGAAATTTGAACGTTAAGCTTGGAAGTTTTTAATTCATCGTAATCTTTGAAACTTGCCAGCTCTATATTAATACGCTTTACGCGTATTATTAAATGAAAGGAACTCGAAATTGAGAGTTAAAAATTGCAAGCTTAAAATTTATCGATACGAGTGTACATTGCTTATCGAGCGCGGGAAATTTAAACGTTAAGCTTGGAAATTTTTAATTCATCGTAATTTTTGAAACTTGCTAGCTCTATCTTAATACACTTTACGCGTATTATTAAATGAAAGGAACTCGAAATTGAGAGTTAAAAATTGCAAG